ATATATATATATATATATATATGAATAGTTTTACAGAGAGGACACAAGTCAGCACAGCCACTGACGTCCAGGACTTGGTCAGACCTGGAAAATCCCTGATCAGGTAACACACACACACATACACACTTTGTGCTTTAATGGGATTGCTGTTGTCTCTGTGAGTTGCAGGCGAGCGCTGAAAGGTTTTTCATCTCTTCTCTTAAGTCCGAGGGGGGATATGCCTGGAGGTCTCGGAGAGCATTGTGGTTTAGAGGATGAGGCCCCCGCTGAGGCGTCCCACCACCTCGCCGGCATCAATGGAAACACTGACATGTCTAACCCACAACTGCTGAAGCCTCACAGGCTGCCCTCGCTCCGCGTCTGACAGCCGAACCGATGTGAAACACAGAACTGAAACACGCCACTGCTTTTCCCATTAAACCCAACGCGTGTTAGCACTGAGGGCCAATTCATACTGTGCACATTGAGGTGAGTTATGCGCTTTGAACTCATAATGGCCACTTTATTCTCTGAAGGTTTGCCTACCAAACAAGATTTGAATTGAGTAAAAAAAAAAAAGCAGCGTGCATAAAAGTGTGTGTGTGTGTTTCCCCCAGAGGAGCCCAATGGTTTCAGCAGCAGAGTTCTTATGGCCTGCAGCCTGGCAGGCAGATGTGTGTGTCTGTGTTTGTGTGTGTGTAAGACAGGAGATCGTACTCACGTCCAGGTGTTGTGGGATGTATGCAGAGTCCATGATTTATCCTTGAGCTCCAGTGTTACGATCCCTTGCCTCGTGCTCTTGCTCCTTTGGACAGAATGGGCAAAGTGGACTATTTACTCCTCTCTGTCTCTCTTTTTTATTTTTCTCTCAGAGCATGTCTCTCCTATGGCTTCCATGTGTCTCTATAGGTGTTGCAGACTGGTCCATGTTTCTCTGCTGTCTCTGCTCCTTCACTCAGCTTCTCATCCTGTTGTCACTGCCAGACAAGCAAAACCCTTAAAAACATCCACTGACTTCCTCCTCCTCTGCCTACCTGACCTCTGCCTGTGAGCACCCTTTATCTCTTCCACCTCTGCTTCTTTGGAAGAAGCTGATGCTGTTCATCAAAGCTGCAACAATAAAATAAAATAAAATAAACTGAAAAAATAAAAACGTGTGTCTGTCTGTATTGGCTCACCGGCAACAACTCCCTCTAGTTCCTAAACCTCCTCACTGTGTCTCTCTCTCCTTTCCTCTCCACTCTGTTCCTCCCTTTTGTATCTCCTCCCCCTTCCCCCCCACCTCTCTCTTTCTACCTCTCTCTCAAACACACACTTACATTTTTCTCAGCTGGTAAACTTAATTCAGCTCTAACAGACTTTCTGGCAACTCAGATTCTCTGAAATTGTCACAAAGTTTGGCCCCCGTCCATAGGCCAATAAACATCCACAAAAACATTCCYAACAAAACTAATCGCACAGCTTCAGCCTCGCAATCTGCTCTAGACAACCCCGGAGCTCAGCACGCACAATCAGACTGACTGTTTTTCTGTATTTCCTCCTTTAATAAACTCACCTGCTGTGTTTCATTTGACTTTTGGAGCCAACGTGCTCACAGACAGTCCTTCTGTCATTATAAATACTCTGAGATTCTGTTACAAATCCAGGTATGAATGGATGACTCACAGTGGGGGCACCATGAAGTCACCAAAAATGAGATCAGTGATTGGATGGAAGTAAATGCTAAAGCAAAAAAAAAAAAAAAAAAAAGATGGAATACTGTTGCTTCTTCATGATGAGCTGAAGCAAGGTGCATCTGTCCTTCCCGCACGGAGCGAGCAGGCGGGCGGGTGAGCAGGCGGCGGCGGCCAAATTTGTATTCATGAGGTGAGCCCATGAGAAAACGTCTCTTTAGGATGCATCGTCTCACATATTAGATCTCATCTGGAGAATCACTCATCCACGTCCCTCAGCTCCACCTCCCTGTCCCGTCCACTCACTCCTTCCAGTCCACTTGAGTACAAACACACACACTCAAACACACACACAAACTTCAACCGCAGACCTCATTCATCCCCAGACTGAGTAATTGTCCCACTGCAGAGAAACTTCACACACAAACACACACTTTCTTTTTATTTATGACACACACTCCTGCTTAGGGGCTTTGAAGCATTTTAAACCTCTCAAAAATAATTAAAAAATAACCTAATTAAAAAGACCTAAGATTAGTCGATTCTTCCACCTGCTGTCTTTAGAGCAGCTTTTGTTAAGAAATGACCTTGAATTGTCACTGCACAATCAAAGGCTGCCAATCCTTTAGAGCTGTGAAAAAAATCTTCATTTCTATTTTAAAAGTTAAATGAGTTAACAGACCTGAAACACTAGTCTTGACCCTTGTCATTTAAAATCGCCACAAAGGTTGGGATTGACTTTATCGTTTTATCAAGAGTCCAAACATGTCAGAAATCAAAAAGTAGATGAGGTTGAATGAAAGTGTTGGAGGTAATCCTCTTGCTCTAAAAAAGAAAAAAAAAAGTCTCAAGCAGGAATGAAAAACTCAAGCTAACAAGTGAGGATCTTGTTGGGAAGAAGCACCCAGGTGCAGATGTTCAGGCTGTGGAGCAATGAAGAATTTATTGAGCTAATCCTAAGAAAACCAGAGGTGACACTGCCTCGGCTTTTCTTGGTAATAGCTCAATGAAGTTTTTATCACAATAAGTGGCAGAACAGGGAGGACACATATGGAGTAACAGAAGATCTGAAAAAAAAAAAAAAAAAAAACAACCTTGGACATCTGTGGATTACTGTAAAGCCAAGTGAGGAGCTGGAAAGAGGGGCATCTGAGGATATCTGTGGGGTCTTCCAAAAAGTGGGTTATGTGAAAACTCGGGAGGTTTTGTTCCAGAGAGAAACTCTGAATTCATCTGCTGCTCCAGCTTTAGTTCACAGTCTCTTACTATGGCAATAAAACACAATTTCCCTAAACTCAGGATTTGAACAACCAGGAAGTCTGTAAAAAACTCTTGATGTCTGCCACGAAGGACAAATAATCAGGTATTTGTGTGTGTGTGTCTGTTAGCAAAATATCTCTTGATCAGTGTGGAAGTAGTTGCGAGTCTTTCCACTCACAAACTCTGAGCTCTGATGGATCATCTTTGTTTAAGTCATTGATTGATGCAATCATTTATTAACTGGTAATTTCATTTAAACTCAGGTTTCCAGATCAGTTTAGTACATAAGATTATTTTTAGCTAAGACCTGAATAAATGATAAAGACACTAATATGTCTCCAGATTAATTCCAGTTTTTGTGTATTAGAGTTATTGTGTAGCTCAAACAATCCATCAAAAGCTTTAAAWATCACATAAACTGTACTGGTGAAGCTTCAAGACAAGGGAGTAACTTTAAAAGGTTATTTTAAACTTCTTGAAATGACAAAACCGTTGTATAAACATACAGAATTTGACAGGTTAGACTTGTTAAAAGGAATGCTCACATGCAGGTTTCAGTCACATTAAGCCTCTGCTCTAAATTCTTTCCCCCAAAATGAGCAGTAATCCCAGCCTCCAGCTTTCCCATCCTCTGGAAAAGCTCTCGGCTGCCTGTCCCGTTGACTTCCGGCTGGGGTGGCAGGAGGCTTTTAAAGTAATACCTCATCCGCCCTTCTTAGCAAGCCGTCCATCCATCCTACATCCCAGCATTCCCACCTCCATGCTGCTCCATCCATCCCTCCACAGACATGCTTAGTGAGGCCCCACCATGGAAAGAGGAAGAGAGACGCATGTTGGTTTCGTTCCCAGTTCGGCTCCCTCCTTCCACGTCCCCTTTCAACAAATTATCACACATAATAACTCATCAATCAACCTGATCATCAGATATTTGGAAGAGGGAAAAAGGAGTCCAGAGAGAGAGGTGATGACAACACACACACACACACACACACACACACACACACACACACAC